TGAATGAATGATACATTGCATAGTGAATACTGATACTTGAGCACAGAAATTTAAATTACAAACGGGACATAAAGAGTCAGGAGATATGCAGTCAGAAGTCACAATGAACGAAATGTAGAACGGTGAAATTGATATTCATTGGCAAAACACCCAAATGAGCGTCACTGCTGCCCTTAAATAAATACACGCTCAAGTTTATGTCTCATACGCTATGAGGTTTATACAGTGACCAGACTGCTGAAGTGTTTTGGGAATACCTTACACAATCAGAGTAGATAAGATAGACTGGCACTCACTGGGGAATGTGTATGAGTGTAGATGTCTGTACATTAAGTTTGCTCATTTCAGAAAATTATCTTATTCTGTGTTAAAGGAGCATAAGTGGGAAACAAGTTCTTATTTCAAGTCAACTTGACGTAAATATACCTGGTACTACGCCACTTCAGAATTCCCAGTGGATTGTGCACAATGTACTGTAGACATACGTTGTTTTGCAAAAGGGATGCAATATACTGCTAACCCTTAAAACAGGGCAATACATTGAGTTGAATATACATGTACCTGTACGTACATGTAGCTACATGTAGCTCTCTTGCATTGGACTGACCAATCAAGATCAAGGATTCAACTTTGTAGGAAGACAAGGTGTATAAATGTTGTATAATATTTACAAAGATGAAATCCCAAAGTGGTAATCCAGGTATGTGACTTTCTCCTGCCAGACATCAGAATGTAATCTACATTGTACATGTACTGTATGTGTTTTTGTTTTCATGATTATGGATGAGCCAAACTGTGACGTTAGGAGTAATTATGGGCCTATGCAGGTGAAAAACAAAATGTTTCTCTCAAAACAAAAGCCCAAAGATGAAAGGCCTCATCAAGATTATTATTAATAATGCTGTCAACATTGAATTAAAAATAATATATGCATAGACTGTAAGATAATTATTCAAGTTGCATGTATTAAGAAAAAAAAACAAAAGACCCCCCAAAAAGTCCATGTACCTTGAGTCTTTGTCGTGGGTTGCGGCATGCAGAGGCAAACGGCCACTTGTGTCTGCTATTGCTTGCTTGCCTCCACTACGTAACAGGTAGATCACACCATGGTACCAACCCTAAGACAAAAACAACACAAGTTCTGGTCATCAATGTTTAGCTGTTTTACTGTACATTTCACCTGTTACACCCTTAGGATTTAAAGAGCATGTATTGTACAGTGCATGTACTGTATATTCACAAACTTGTTCATATTAACACCCTCTTTGAAGGGAAAGGGCTTTAATAAAAAAAGAAAAGACTTTGTGACAAATAAGTTATGATATAACTTCCTGTACAGTACATAATGCACTGAACATGATCACCGATGTACAGTACATGTACCAGTATGTACCGGTATGTATATATATTTCCCACCTGCCTTATCTTTGGATTCCTTCTGTGCTACCTGGTACTGGTATCAGTACACGTACGGTACATATTTTTGCAACTTATGAAAATCAGCCAAAGTTTGATTTCAATTTTTCACCGATAAAATAAAATGGATTTTATACAGATGGTAAAATGAATTTTTCTGCAGTATCTAATTCTGGTACATTATATTATTCAGGTAGGACATATTGACCTCAGTTTGCCATGCATTATCTGTAGCTTTATGTAAACTTGTCCAAATACACCTACATGTACATAGATGATGCACGTACGTACAGTACATCCTCCTTTGGAAAGTTATTCTTTAACATGCTTGACTGAAATTAAATAAGGCATAATGTCAAAGAAACCTATCACTGTCGTGACGCCCTTCCTCCGTCTTTTTTCTTTCTTGTTTTTCTGTGTGCACTGAGCAGCCAAAATCCTAGGAATGAAATGTCAATTAGTAATTACTCTGTAACGTGACCTATGGACCTGACTAGCAATGCTAGAAGCTCTCCTCACATCAATCACATTTAAGAACCAGCAAGGAAAAGCATCTCCTTTTTTCTTTCATTTTGTGTGTGAGTGGAGGTGTGTGTATGCAATTGACTTGTGGTAGTCATTTATGTGTAATTTGATGCTAAACAGGTATACATATGGTTCATTTTTAATTAATTTCAGTCTGATGCGAATGGCGTCAACCAAAAACCAACAGAATCTTAGATTCATTTCTTTTTCTTCATAGAAAGGAGCCAAAGTAAATTACATGCTCTGAGGCTCAAAATGCAGAGTCAAAAGTATTCCTTTCTATTTGCTTTCAAAAAGTAAAACTTGTCACAAAGAAGACCAAAAAAACACCAATGGTACATGTAAGTACACATAATCACAAAAATGAGATGTGTTTTTCATTGAAAAGTTGATAAGACACTTGCGTGTGATTATGTAATTACAAATGTCCTCTTTCTCATCACGTGCCTATCCTCAGTACTGCCAATTATGATTAGAGCATATTGTAACCATGAATAAAATCAATTTTATACTTACTAGTACTAGTAATACATGAAATCAAACCTCTTGATTGTTGGACAATGTCTACTGTATACTCGTATTTGGTGCAATTTAACTGATCTTCAGAGTAGTTTTACATGTACATATGTAGTACAGTAGTTACTTGTGCATAAACTTGTCATCTTACGTAGGCCGTAGACAAAAGAAACACTACATGTACATGTACATACCAGTACTGTACATGTAGCTGACATGTAAGAGAAGGTGTGCGTACTGGCAATATGCAAAGCTTTCACATAATAAAAATGATTTGTGCATCTATTGAGGTAATAACTGCCCTCCATCAAGTCCCACACATGGTGTCCAAGTCTTCCTCTTTCCATTCACCCCCCTCCCCTGAATATCCAGAACTGAAGCCCCCTCCTGGTTCTGTTTGCATGGCTATTATGTGTACACAACAGACCCACAGCAATGCCTCACTCTTGTCTGCATTAGCACCACTACTTCCATCTCTTGCTTCCACTCAACAAATTTTTTGTACCAGATCAGCCGTCGTTTGGCCGTTGCCTAGCAACCATAATTGAGATGTGATTACACGGAACATGCATGCAGAATCTTCAATATGGCTGGCAAAAGCTAGAAACGTGACCTCAAAGAATATGTGGTGATTACCACAGGTACAAGTACATGTACTGACAGAATATCAAGATGAAATTGATGATATACCACGTTGTGCATGGATATTTTTCAAGAAAGAAAAGAGAGTTTATAATTTCATATTTCCTGAGACAAAAAAAACACACAAAAGAAAAAAAAATCAGATGAAGGTACACATGTACATGTATATTGTTCAGAACAATTGACGATGAAGTACAACTTCAAAGTAAAAGTGAATATACCAGGTATGTAATACAAAACTACTGCAAAAATTCTGTTAGGATCAAAATCTCAGGCCCTCCATATTTTGTGAAATAAAACTGACATTCCAATATCACGCTTAGATTATTTTTGTTGAAGAAAGCAAAATCCAGGGTGCTTAACTTCCTATTTTCCAAGGCAAACCAGCTACCGGTACTGGTTCTTGGAGTGTGTTTGCAGAGAGTACGGTAATTCCACTAAGCAATATTGTATTCTCTTTTGGCTAAAAATGGTGTTGGAATAAAGTTTGATTTGATACATTGGGAAGGGGCCAGGCAGTGTAATTTCCACGACTAAAATACACACATTCTGTCTGTGAGTTCATTCATACAATAGATGCACACTATATGTACTGAAGTAAATGGTGCCAACTGACTTTACTTCCTAAACAGGCACCGACTTGTATGGAGTACAAGGTGCAGATGTATTTGAAAATTAAATATTCATGGGCATTAATGGACATGGCTAATGTACTACATTGCATCAGGAATAAGTAGTACACGTACGTGTATGGGTCATGACACAAGCAACCTGAGATTTGAATTGAAAGTACAGTAGGTGCACAAGCACATGTATGCTCACCTCAAAACTGGCTTAGATCACTCAAGAAATTGGCAATGCCAACAAATAACAAGACCTATGTGTACTTTGGATAGTAATACATACCAGTATGTGGTTTTCTACAGCTTAGGATATCTACTTCAAAACAGGAAATCAGTTCAGAGCCAGATTCAAAATCTGCAAAGTTTATATACATAATATTACACCATTGTGAACTTTTCCAGAAATTTCGCAAAGTAAATCCTTCACAAAGTGAATTCTTCATTCTCCACCACACAACCATGGAGTTTTTTTCAATCACTAAGTTCTAGACATGAAGGTGCAGTGTTCATTGAAGCTCTGTTCACGTACATGACAGTGCCCAATGATGTACATGTGCTAGTACATATATGCTGTAATTACCAGTATGCGGAAGCTTGCAAATGAATGGTTATTTCAAGACGTCACAGAAACAACAGAATTTGTTGAATTCTAAAGGCAAGTCATCCTCTTATAATTACCTGTATTACCATGGTAACCAGACAATACCATCATTTGATGGATGTGTATTATGAGTACAGTGACTTTTATAAGTCAAAAAAGTACTGGTATGTCTTTTGGTGAGGATGTTCTAAAAAACCCCAAAGACTGTGTGAATAGGATGAATAAATATTCATAGATCTACATGTAACGTGTATACATTTTATCCAGCATCCCGGTACATGT